GCGCAGTAGATGGGTCACTAACTCTTATAACCACATTTTGCCACTGCTGGGGGATGCGGCACTTGATATACATACTTAATATAGCTCAGAGGGGCAAGAGTTTCTTATCCATCAAGCCGTCATTTTCATTTTGAGCACACGGGTCATGAGGTTTTCTTATCGAGCTCTTCGCTTAGGTAAAAGTCTTTCCTTCTTAGTACCTATTTCTAAGAATTGAAGTCCCTATTATGTATTTAGTTATTGTCGTTGTAGACCCGACTACCATGGGAACTCTGATTCGCGAGTTTTTTCTCTTACAAAGTGAATGCTTAACCATTATAACGGACTATCAAACTTTTTTCGGTTCAGTGATAACTATGAAGTGTCAAAAAAGAGCTTTTTTTTGCCCTAAGGTAAAAAGGAATAAGTAAAACCCATTTATACGAATAGCAAAGTTATTTAGATTGCCTTCAATAGCTTAGAATGGACAGCTACTTGCAAATATGAGGAAAGAATATTGCAGAAGCGAGAAAATATAGCAAAACTCGAATTCTCTAAAAAAAAAATGGAAAAGTTTTAAACTAATACTTGCAAAATACTGCAAAAAAAGTTTCAATCGTCTCATTGTAGCAACGAAGCAGTGAAAGCTAAACAGCTATCTGCTCCATTTTCAACTCTGACAGGCCTTTGGCATTGTTCAGTGATTAAATTTTTGCTGCAAGAGCTTACTCTTTTTGCAATTCTATTATGTTATCATTTTTGCTGCTTTTTGCCATACCTTTGTTTTGTAATATTTTTGTTTTCGTACAATTCTTTCTTTAAAATCCTTCTTTTTATTTGTATTTTTGTTTATTTGCTGAAACTGTCACTGTCAATCAGTGTAAAGACTATCTTAGAATTTTGGCAACACAGAATATTGCTGATACTCGCATTTCCACACAGTTCTTTAACTTTTCCAATGTGTTATGGACACTCGCTTACGTACATACATACCACATACCACATAGTTACATATGATATGCACAAATTGGATTGCTTGCATGTGTGGGCTCCTTTGAGTTTACAACTTTTATAAGTTTTCTTGGCGCGATTCTCTCCAAAGTAAATGCCAAAAAGAAGGAAACTTTTAGAAAATCAATATGATAAAAGTCGAAACTGTGGAAAAATGGTAATATTTACCACCTGCTGGAAAAATGAGAAAGTTCGTCGAAGCCATTTTTGTGCCTTGGCATGAAGAAAATAAAGTTGGAAGAGGATTTGTTGTCGGATGAATGTAATCACAGACATATGTATGTATGTACATATAGTGCTTTCTACGTAGAAAACATACATACATATACTAGTTCCGGAGAAGAGGACAGTTTTTCATGCTTCTGTTGTTTGGTGATGTTATAGTTTACATCTCCGTGGCTTCGCCGTCCATCTTCCTCACTTTTCTGCGCTCCATAGCGTCTACCATAGCGATTGAGTTCGCATTTCTATTTCCTGCGATATTTCGGTTATTTTCGTAGCCTGATTTTGGTTTGGTTCCACGCGATTTACCTTTTCTTCGCCGCTTCTGATAGGGTCCAGTATGCTGAGGACACTCTTAAGGCCGCTGTTCTTTGTAATATAGCTCTGTTCATATTTCGTTGCCATTATGGAGGGTCTACGTCATTGTGTTCGTCAAAAGACACTTGCAAAAACAATTGCAAAAACATACCTTATTTTGGAATACCTGAATAAGACAAGTGGCCCTTTTGTTACTTTCGGACTTGTACAAGTCCAAGTTTACTTGTGTATACAATTGTAAAATAATTAGAAGGTGATTCAAACTATCGAGGTAGTCAGGAAATCGGCTAACGGAGGTAGGGTATATAGAGTTTAGCAGATCTACGCTTGCAATAAAAAAAAAAATTTTCACTTAATTACAGCTCCGAGTATAAGCATCCATTTCTCTAACTGCCTGACTATTTGTCAACTTATTTAACTAAAAAGTATATTTATTTGTATAAGTCATCTAAGACACTTGATTTTTACTTCGCTAGTTTTGCCATTTTATTCGCTAATTAGAGCACTTTTGCAATATTATTTATTTAAAATATAGATTATTTTTGAATTAAAATAGCTTTCATTAAAAGTCAAGTGTATTTCATTAACACAAGTGTACGACGATTGCTTTTTTTTGGGAAAAGGGCGTATTGTAAATTTTATTTCATGCTTTGTAACATTTCTACATGCCTCTCTCCCCACTAACCAACTTTTATTTAACCTTTCGTCAGAAAAGTTGTCTATTTGCCTTGCACTTCTAGGGCTACGTTGATATTCTTATTATGTATGTATGTATGTATGTAGTATTTATTATCTTTTTGGGTACTCAATTATATATATATATATTTAGGTAAATATATATGTAAACAATTATGCATAGTAAGCCTTAAGTATTTAACCAGCAAGAGCAATGCAATTAGTTGATGATTTTACGTTTTCTTTGCCGCTAACCAATTTACAAAGCAATCGACTTACATATATAGGCATTGAAATTTTGTCCAAAAGTCTTTGCTCTGGCAGAGCGAAGAGCGGATTTTATGCCCTTCCTTTACTTTTTGTATTTGAACGTTTTTTGTTCGTTTTCTCCTTTGGAAAATACGTTTTAATGAAAACGCAATTTATTTAGTAATTCTCAACGCCACGAGTGCAATAAAAATAATGAAACTGTGATAAATAAATTCCATGAAAGTTTTCATAAATACAAATAGTGCTTGAATAGTTGAAGTGAGTTTACTTTCAACTGGTTTTACTCTAACGCTTTGGCTTTGTCGGTGAAAGTACTTGGCAAAAGAAACTTTTAATGTTGGATACATTTTGGGGAGATCTAAATATCTACTCTGAGTGCGGTTGGTAGAATTTACTTGTGTGGTTAAGCAGCTTTAATTTATTAATTCAAATACATATACGTAAAGAAAATACTTTATTGCGCGCTTAAAATTAAAATTCCATAAAAACTAAAGAAGACATTAAGTGCTTAATAAATCGAAAATTTTTATGAAAATGCCAAATACTTTATAAAGTTCTTTAAATTTATTAAACTTTTGAAAACTAGCTAGAAACGTAATCTGTGGATATAAAAACTTCTTAGAAAAAAAAACATAAGAGTCTGTACTAAAAACTAAAGTGAAGGCTGAAAATATGTAAACTTTTTTATTATCTCAATGATAGATCTCGCAAACTGTTATTGAAAATAGATTTTTATAACTTATTCAAAATTTTAATAAACATGATTGTTTTTGTTATTGGCCGTTTAATATAATTTAATAATTTATTTTATTAATAACCACTTATACTTTTCTAATTAATTTTATTTAATTAAATTACATTTCTTTTTACTTAATTAATTTTTATTTTATCTTGCCCTTTTCATTTTATATTGTTTAATTTTGTTAAATCCTACTTTATTTAATTTTATTTTAATTTAATTTAACTTTGCTTTATTCAGTTTTATTTTATTTGATTTCATTTAGTTTTATTTACTAGCATTTAATTAAATTTAGTTTTATTTCACTTTACTATATTTTATTTTAGTTTAGCTTTTAATTTAATTTTTCAATGTTATTTTACAACAATTAATTTTAAGTATTTGACTTTATTTCTTTTGGATTTATTATTTTATTTTATTTTATTTTAATTTAATTTAATTTAATTTAATTTTATTGAATTTTATTTTATTTTATTTTATTTAATTTTATTTTATTTTATTTCAATTTAATTTGTTTTATTTTATTTTATTTGTTTTTTTTTATTTATTTTATTTTATTTTATTTTATTTTATTTTATTTTATTTTATTTTATTTTAAGTTAATTTTTTAAATTTAGTTTAATTTTTATTTTAGTTTTAATATTTAATTTTTTAAATTTAATTGAATTTAATTTCATTTTATTTCATAATAACCAATCAAAAAAACAAATATTTCATTTCACTTTATTTTATTTAAATTTTATTCCATTTTATTTTATTTTATTTAACTTGGTTTTATTTAATTTAATTTTTACATTTTATTCTATCTGTTTATATTTAAATTTATTGGGTCTGACTATATTTTTGACCAAATTTTATACAAAGGTTTTGAATGAAATTTTTATACAATGTGTTTCAATCCTTATTTAATATGCATATATGTATCTACCAATGTATGTTTGTTATCAACATACTTAATACTCTTAAGATCGCTTGAGATGTAGGTAGCATTAGATATTTTTACATTTTAAATTTTGCAATTTAAAGCAACTATTCACTTTAAGTGCCCTTCGTCCCCAGTTAATGCCCTCCACATGAAATCATAAATAGTTTTTAACACTCGAGCATTAAAAACGATACATTGCACTTTGAAAAGTAAGACAAGTGGAAGTTCACTTTGCAAGTTCACACCCGGCAAACAGCTGTGAACAAGTCATAGGAAAAAATGCGTGAAATTGAAGTGGCAACGTACTGCCAGTATATGCATATATACATCTCTATATGTATACGAATACGTATGTATACACTACTGTACTCAAATGCCAAATACTCGTATCTGCATAAGGCACATCAGAATTTTCGAAATTAACAAACTGCAATTTGAGGCATTTTTAAACTTTTGCCTATTAATAAAGTGCCAGAACATTTGGTATTTTGTAATTTTGTAACTTTGCTCGTATTTGGTTCTTTGACTTACCACTTTCGTTTCTAGCTTAGCATTTTTAAGCAAATACTTCACAGGTTTATTGCATTGCCTTTGCTGGCAATATTGGCCAACTCTAAATCACCTGCTTGGGCAAATGGGATTTAATACCGAAATTTTAGGTAACAGACAAAAAAGCTACTGGGTGCTTAAACAATGCTTTTCAGCACTTCTTTGAACTACTGCTGAACTTCTTAAAAAGAAAAAATAATAATTTCTTTACACCCTCTTTATTTTATTTATATATAGAGTCAATTTAACTTCATCATAATCATTAAAAATGTGAAACACTAAATTAATCTACTAGACAGGAGCGCCACTTACCTCCATAAAAAAAACGCCATAACGATGAGTACAATGCCGAAACAGCTGAAGATGATGCCAACCAAAACAGCCAAATTATAGTCATTGTGCGATTGACGTAACAGCGGTTGAATCTTTTCACAATTGGGATGTAGAGAAATCTATTAAAGGGTGAAAAGAAAATTGTTATCAGAATTGTAAAGAAACACAAAAGAAGTTAGTGCGGGTGGTTCTTACGCATGGCGGAAGTGAAACTTCCTCTCTTCGAGAAAATTCCATAATGGAAGAATTTAGCAAACATTTTTTTTTTTTATGTACTATACTACATAAATATGAACACATGGATAGTCCTCTGCAATAACGATACAACTCGATATTTCATATTTTTCAGTAGAGCCAATTAAAAATTTTGTGTTTCGTAATTTGGCAATAATATGTCTCGAAGCGTAATTATTTCGAATTATTTGCAGTCATTCTGTAGGGAAAATTTGCAAGCTTTAAAATGATGTCTATTTTCTAAAGATTTAATAACATTACGACTAAAAAAATACAACTCCTAAGTAGTTAAACGAAAATAACTCCACTGGTATTTATTACTGAACAACGCCAAAATACGAAAATAACGAATATTTCCCATAAAAGCATCTCTAGCCTAACGCCAGTTTTTGACTTATGCAAATATTCATGATAAATGTGAGACATGCGCAGAACTGCACCGTCGATTTGCCATAGAAATATATGGTTACTTATTAATCTAATCGGCTATATAACCCAAAACATGAAATTTTGAGTTGTTCCGTTATTGCAGAGCTTCATTTGTTGAGTTGAGTTAAGGTTGGTTGAGGGGAGATGAGTTAAGGTTAAGATGATATAAAACATTTTAATCTCAGTTTTATCTTTACCTTTGGCTCTTTATCTTAATCTCTATCTATCACTATCTCTATCCCTCTATTCATCTTTATTTTTGTCTTTATCTTCATAGTTATCTGATTTTTCATGCTTATTTTTTTCTTAGTCTTTGTGTTTATCTCTATTTTCTCCTTTGGCCTTGTCGTCATCTTTGTCTTTGTTTTCATCTTTGCCTTTATTTTCGCCTTTCTATTCATCTTTGTATTTGTCTTTGGCTTTGTTTTTGCATGTGGATTCGTGTTTGCATCAATCCTAATTTTATACTTTATCTTGACTTTAATATTAAACTGAATTTTCATTTTCATCGCCATATTAATCTTCAAACTTCATAATCGTATTCATCTTGCTCTTCTTCTTCATCTTTATCTTTCTCTTTTTCTTTTTTTTTACCTTCAACTTTCTCTTGATCTCTATCTTCTGCAACAGTCGATTGTACTCGCATCGTTACTGTCATCGCTGAAGAAGCAATAAAAGTTAAATGCTGAAAAATTATGTTTACTATTTACTGTTACTTTACGTAGAGCCTTATTCATAAAAAATAAAGTAGCTTTAAAAAAGGTTTATAAATTAAAAGATGTATAGAAACTTTTATTTATACAGCTCTTTAAACCTACTTTATTTTTTATGAATAAGGCTATTACTCTTTAAACCGAACAATGCAACATTTTTGGTAAACTTATTTTATGTTGAAAATATTTTGTAGTCTAATTTCATCTTCATCGTCATGGTTGGTTCCTAAAAATTTCATACATTTTGATTTTAACCAGAATTTTAGTTTTTAAATTACCTTGGCCGTTTTTGGCCAATAATTAAAAAAAAGTTTTTTAAAGGAGTTCCAAAACAAAGCGCTCCTTGTCTTTGCTGTTTTCACCTTAAAATTATCTAAAATTTCATAGCCAAACCAATAAATTATTAAAACGCTTTTCTTCAAAAACAACTGTTATTCTTTCCTCAAAATGAATACAAATGACCAAAGGATGATCCCGATAATTTACTGTAATCACCTTTTTGAGTACGTCGTGAGCTCTACCACAGTCGCATAGCAAATGAAAATAGAGCTATAAAAGCAATTATGTATGTACATATGTATGTTAAGTTATAAATCGCACCATTCTAACTAAAACTCATAATGACGTAAATCCTGAAATATGACAAAAATTACTGGAGATGCAGCTTGCACACCAAGTACTCAGAATATCAGTTGCAACTCGGCTGTTTATGTACAATGTGTATTCATTTAAAATCCTTGAGGTGGTGTTAAGCGGCTGGCAATGTCAACAAAAAATACCCACAACTGCCGCAAATATGATTCCATGCGCATAGTCATCACACAACAAACAACCAAGGATTTAAATGAGAATTAGGTATATTTACTGAAATAAAAGAATTGCGCATAAATAAATGGCTATAAGCGGCCAAGAGCAGACGACGTGTAAAACAAGCGAGTTACCTTTTTCACGTGGAAGGTTGAGGTGAAACGGAAGCGCAGCACAGCAACGGAAGGCTGCTATGACCGGAAATGGTAAAGATTTATGAGAAGGTAAAAAACCGCATAAATAAAAAAAAAAAACAACAACAAAGACATAACACACAGAACGAATTCGCGCTATTAGCGGCGAAGCAAGAGCGCATCTGCCTGCCTAGAAGCATCATTAAGGTATATTATGCTGCTGCTTTTTAAAGGAGCATGTTGTGGTTTCTACATGTTTCCGGCAGACTTGGCACCAGCGGCAATTGCATAGCAAAACAAACAACTAACATGCGACTAGCGCCACAACTACCCAGCCAGAGATCAGCCACTCAACTGAGTAAAGCAGCCAGTCAGGAAACGCTTTAAACGGCTTGAACAGCAGCTATAACTATGGCAACTATGTATGTAAAGAGCGAATGTAGGCGGTTGCCGGTTGCGAGCTGATGTTTTGCGCAAACTAAAAATAAATACGTAAAAGCAGCGGCTAGCAAATGACGTGATATACAAATGGGCAATAAAACAAGCAATACAAACTGCTAAGGACAATAGAGGTGACGCAACTCGGTCCGCACACGACCCTACTTTACCCTCACTGGCAGCAATAATGCTAAAACAACGGCAACACAAATTTATAAATTTTGTAAAAATGGCAAAAACAGACGCTTGCGTCAGGTATGCTGAAGGATTATGATGAACTTTTAGACGAAAAAAGAAAGGCGAAAAAAAACAAAACAAAAAGAAAAACAGAAAAATAACCAACAAATATTTCGTACGTTTTTCAAGTAGTGGGCGACCCAACTGAGGCGCTGCTAACAGGATATGAAAACAGCACCACGGGACGGCTATGTGTATGTAACTGTATGTAAAAAAGTGTGTGCGCTTGTGTGCACGTGCGGAAAGTAATATAGTTATGGCAACCACTATATGTAGGTGGGCTAAAATATGAAAATGTGAAAAATGTGGAAAATTACGCTTCAAAATATATTGCATGTTATATGTCAGCAGCAGTGATGATGCGTTGTGGTGTAAGACAAGTTTTTTAAAGCCACAAAAACAACTACTTATATTAAAATTGAAAACAAAATAAAAATGCGGTCGAAAGAAGAAATTTTATACTTTTATGCGCAAGTGTGGGCATTTTTATGTGTGTAGATATGTGGTTGTGCAGTTCGTGTATTCGAAATGTTATAAAATGCACCACTACATATGCAAGAGTTAGAGCTTGTCAGCAAGGTTCACAAGTTAAAACCCCCAACAGCAGAACGATTTGTTGGTGGCATTGTCAAAAACAAAAATAATCATGTTGAAGTAAGTACTTAGTTAAGTATAGAGCATTAAGATGCAACCCAGCAATAATTTGAATCAGTGGTGTGGAAATTTATATTTACAAAATGCTAACCGCCCAATTCTGTGTTTTCTTGATAAATTTTTTGTAAAGAAATTTTATCAAGATTTTTATCAAGAAAAAGCTTCCTTCGCATTCTGTGTCAATATTTATAAAACAAAAAGCTCTACGATTTCCACATTAGTGGAACTGATTTCCACATGAGTGGAGCTGATTTTATTGTCACATATGAAAAATATGATTTTAAAAGCTAAAAAGCTTTTGACTGCCGTAGCCGAGTAGGTAGAGATGTCGACTATAATTCCGTGTATCGCAGGTTCAAATGCCAACACATGGAGTATTTAATTGCTAGAAACAAATTTATTAATATACAAAATTTATACATTTCATATGAAATTTCAATTTGTCAATAGCATTTTCCATCTTGATAATTTATAAAGAAAAGAGCTTTTGGTTTCTGTGCTAGAATACCAATTCTTGACAAATAATAAAAAATTGACAAAATTATAAAGATTTTCAATTTATCAAGTGCACAGAATCGGGCTGTAAGTATTAATTAAAAAATATTTAGGTATTTATGTTGTAGCACATAATCAATTACAACTGTGTATTTGTGTAAGTATTTTCGATGCCACTAAATATCTAGTAGCATAGTAATTACATACATACTTAAGGTGTGCTAAATAAGTATTGAAGAATAGATATCAAAGTTGTTTAAGTAAATGTGTTAAATTATTTTCACCGGGTTAACAACTAAGCATAAAAAAATTATGAAAGTAAAAGTAACTTAGTAATTTTAGCTTCGCTAAATACTGAATACAAAGGACGAACAAATTTCGAAATGACCCCGGAAGTTCCAAAATAGTTCCAAAATCCTGCGGAGGTTCAAAAAACTTAGAAAAATTCCGCAAGGCCACGTAAAATATAACACTAATTCCCGAAACTTTCCACAGTTAAAAAAAAAGTCCCGAAAAGTAAAACATAAATTTTTTCTGGACTAAATACTGAATATAAAAAAAGCATAAAAGTAAACAAACGAAGGTTACTTAACATTTTTAGCTTCCGAAATGCCGAATATAAAAGTGCGAAAAATCCCAAAAATCATGAAAAAGTCCCGGAAGGTCCAAAACACATAGTCCCAAAATTCCGTAAGGTTCCCAAAAATCCCGGTAGGATTTCGAAAGTTCCCAACGTTAAAATAAAAATCCCGTAGGTAAAACACGAGAAATCCCGAAAAGTTTCGAAATATTCCGAAATTAACGAAAGCTTTCATTAAGTTAAAAAGAAAGGAGCAAAAATCAACAATTATAACGATAAATAGTACTTCAATTCTATAGATTTTAGTATTTAGCAAATTCACGGTTAAGTTGGATTAGTTGTCCACAGAGAGTACCCTATTTGAGTGTGAGGAGAAGACATATTCCCCTAAACTAGGG